TCTCTCTCTCTCTCTCTTTGTGTGTGTGTGTGTGTTTGTGTTTGTGTGTGTGTGTGTGTGTGTGTGTGTGTGTGTGTGTGTGTGTGTGTGTGTCTCACCTGCCATCCCCCCGCACCCACCCCTTCGTCTCTGTTCCTCCGTATCTTGCTTGAGTGTTGGTTGATTGTCCACTCTGCCCGTCTGTCTCTTGCTTACTTTCTCCCTACCCCATCTGCACACCCGTGTTCACTTTCACCCCTGTGCCCTCCTAACCATGGTGTGTGCTTGCCTGCATATTTGCTGTGTGAGTCCAGAAAGCCGACAGATGCTGTTGCCTCATCGTTAGTATATATGCATGAGCATCTTTATCTGAGTCGCCAAAGATAGTGGGACTTGAACCTGTGCCAGGGTTCTGATGGGCTCTGGCGCACAGTGTGTTTTTGTGTGTTTTTGCAGATTTGTCGTATCTAGAGTCTTTCTGCTGTGCTCTTTGTTTTTCTCTCTTTTTCAGTTTCTTTTTGTTCAAACCTTCTGCATTTCTTTTCCTGCACCAGGGTTACTAAATACATCATGATTTGCCTCACTTCGTGTCCATTTCAGAGGGGCATGCTACTTGTGTGTCTTCCTTCAGCAAGTTTTTCCACAAATCATCTTTCTGCAGCTGCATTTTTGGTGCTTATATGGCTAGAGTCAGGTCCAAAGCACACCCATGGGTGGAGTGATTTGCTGTAATTTTCTTGCAAAATTGCAAATGATAAATTTGTTGTTCCGATTTGCTGAGAGACCCCCTGTCTGTCCCGTAGCCCGTCCAGTGATGCTTCTGTGTTTACAGTGTTAGACTGAATACAACATGAGTTTTCAGCTGGAGGAGTTCTTGTTTCCCCCCTCTCCAGTGATACATGTGCTGCTGCAGCATGTGCTATGGAACGAGTCACATTTTGCCTATTGGTTAGCTGCCGCAACTGTAGAGCTGTCGATCCTGTGGAATATCCACAATCTTCAGTCCATCAGGTTGCATGGAAAACTTGCTTGGGCTGTGCGTGCTGAAAAGTTTTTCTTCCACCACAAGAAGAACTTTGCCGGCTTGCGGGGCTGGATTCGTTCGTTCTTGACGGTGTGGGAAAGGCTGTGAGTGAAAGGAAATGAACCAGTGCAGGTTTATTTGTCTGTGACATGTGGGAAAGTGTCTGCAGTAAGTTTGCTCAGTGAGTTAAGTGATGTTCTTCTGGACACGACAGGCAGCGGGCATTCACACTCCCGTGGTTCTCCTGTGAAAGTGTGAAAGGCGGACTTTTCGTCGAGGGATGGAGGGTGAAAATGCACGTCTTGGCATCTGTTGATTCATCGTCTCCAGATCGTCGATATGCAAAATCAGACCCGATCAGCTCCACATTTGCCAAAGTGGACACCTCGAGTCTTTGCTGTTTTCGTGGCTGTAAGTGAACAGCTTGTTTGGCATTCATTTGACTGGCTCAGTGCCCATGTCTGAAGCGAGTTCGGCGTGAATCTTTGGCAACCCTGCAAAAGAATAATACCACAGCGGGTTGGCCCCTGATCTGCAGCTGTGATCTCCAGACATGGCTGCTTCCATCTTACCTAAGACGGTGGGGTGGATGAGCGGCGTGCCAACCCAGACATTCACTAGCGAAGGTACTGGATATCAAGATCATCTATTTGGCAATCGACTGACGAACAGGAATGGCGCTCTGCTTTGGCGTGCGTCAGTATCTTCAGAACACCTACTTCAAAGAGTAAGATGCAGGCCACATTACCCTTGTGGTGGTCCTTGCAGGGGTCTGACGAGCATGGGTTCGCCTCATTGGCGCATAAGGGGCAGTCGACACAATGGCATACTGCTATGGTTACCGACATCATTGTGTAAGCACAATGAAGCAAAGACTGTTGCTGTGGGGTGGCTTGGCAGTTCCCCTGATGCTCACCTGGCCTTGAAGAACCCTCATTATGTAAACAGGAATTGTCATCAAGAAAAAGCTTGCAGTTTTTGTGATGCAGTTCAGCCTCGTTATGCGAACAGGATTACTGGATGGTGGTCACAGTACGGCGGCTTCTCACCATGGTGGTCGTCTGGCAACCGCCTCTCGCTTTCAAGGGTTCTGCATCGCAGAAAGCACCGGCTGAATCTTGGACTAGAGCCTCTGAAGTTGGCAGCCAGGCTTCTAGTGTGGATCCAGGGTCTGTGGAACGGGCAACGTAAAGATCGTCTAGGAGTAGATAAAATAAGGCATAGGAGGGAGAGAGCAGTCACAAGCTCATCTCACAGCAGGGACGAAGATCTGTCAAAAGCGCAGAGCGATGTGCCAGGTAAGACTGCATTGAAAGGCTGGACACGACCACGCAACAACACGGCGCTTGAAGAGTGCGTATGGATGGTGCGTGGACCTTGGTCTGTGAGATGTAGTCCTCATTAACTACACTTGTAAACCAAACAGCATGGATAACCCGGAATGCTTCCTATGGTTGCTACAGTGGCTATGGTGGCAATGGTGGCAATGGTGGCTATGGTGGCTATGGTGGCTATGGTGGCTATGGTGGCTACTGGGGAGTGATCGTCGAGGTGTGAAGTATATAGGTCGCAGAATGCTTAATGCTATGGCAATAGAATTTTGGAGATTGGTCATTCTGTGTGATCTGGACTATACAATAGGCCTAAGATATTCGTTTTGGTTTCTTTTGCTTGAGGAGGATGTAGAGGATAATGTTCGAGAGGAGGCAATGTCCCACGAATAGATTGGAGCCATTGGGGGGGAAAGGAAAGGCAAGCAAGGGGGAAAAGCAAAGAAGAGAAGGGAGGGGGGAGGGGGGCGGGGAGGGGGGCGGGGAGGGAAGGTGCATGGGTGGGTGCTCAGAAGATTGGTATAAGAGCTGGAAAGATAGTCCTTTTGAGGATGTGAATTTTGAATAGAAAGCAGAGAAAACCAACCGTGCCTAGTCACAGCAGAGTGAGATTACTTCGTTATGTCTTCAGGTAGGAAAAGCTACAAGGTTCCTTTAATCATGCCATGAAGGATCATAAATGAGATCCTTTGTTGTGGATTCAAAGATAGAGGATTAAGTTGTATAAGTTGTATAAAATACTGTTGGAAGCTTAGGAGCTGTCCAGAAATAAAGAAGATTAGAGGAAAATCTTCACTTTGATTCTGAAATTAGATTTTTCTTTGTTTGTGTCAGATTGTGAATGACCTTGAAATGTGGAGTTTCTTACAAGTAAAGAACCTCAGTGCTTTTCACTGAAGATGACGCAGGAGTGTCACAACCATGTGAGATTGGAGGCACCCTCTTTTCTCATGCATCTGTGCAGCTTCTCTCTCTCTCTCTCTCTCTCTCTCTCTCTCTCTCTCTCTCTCTCTCTCTCTCTCTCTCTCTCTCTCNTCTCTCTCTCTCTCTCTCTCTCTCTCTCTCTCTCTGTGCTAAATACTGGTTGGGAGCATCACCTGCAGGAAACCGGGTCCAGTGTCCCATTCACAGCATTTAAGTTTGTAGCATTTATGGACCACAATTGAGCTGGAGTTTCTCATTTCCTTCCTTTTCTAAATAACCAGTGCCCTGACCAGATACCTCCTGTGCACCTGCCAGTTAATCTCTTGTGGCGGATAGCTTCGGCCTGAAGGAGGCGCAAGGGACCGGGGGGAGGGGGTGGGGGGAGGAGAGATTTACTTTCTTCCCCAATGTGGTGGTCATTCCTTGCGCACATCGCCTTCAATCAAAACAATGTGAAAAAGATCACGGACATAGGGGACATGCTGCTGTAAGGAGGAAAATATCGACAAAATGAAAGCAAATGTTCTACCCACCAAAACTTTCTGGTGCCACCCTTGCCAGGCCTATGCCCCACAGCAGTTCGATGATCCACGGGTGGGCGAAATCAGCCATCGGCCCATTGGGAAAACAAGCCTGAGAGGTACTGGTGCTCCAAGCCACCAGCACGTCGAGCCTCTTTTCCCCAATGTGTGTGTTTGCCCCTCACGCCAAGTCCTGCCGAACCAGCAGGCCAGGCAATTTGGGCGGGGATGCCCGTCTTTTCCATCCAGTATGCCGCACGATTTGCTGCTCCCCACCAATAGGTGGAGGTTGTGTGGGCAATCAGGGGGCAGCAGGAGTAACAGAAAAAGCAAGTGCCGAGTCTGCAATTTGGGTAATGCCCAGCCACAACATGCTCAGATATTGAAGGATCACTAGGGGGAGGTGTTTGGCCCGATCTGGTCTGAATAGGTGATTCTGCAGAGTTGATGCCAAATATTTCATTACCTGCTCAGTCAATCCCCACATGAGAAGGGCAATCAATGCTGGCAGGAAGTCACAGTATGGTCAGACTTTTGAATCTTGATGTACTTGTCCTGCTCATACTTCAAATGGGACACTGGGCCCGGTTCCCGGCACGTGCCGCTCCCCACGGAAAAAAAAAAAGGTGGAGGTTTCACATGGGAGGCATTCTGAAACCCGGGAGAATGTCCCTGGAGTATCAAGCTACCTCAACCTGAGAATTGACTAAAAACTTGGTAAAAAGAAAAGAGAATTGACTAAAAACTTGGTAAAAAGAAAAGAGAATTGACTAAAAACTTGGTAAAAAGAAAAGAGAATTGACTAAAAGTTAGTAAAAACTTGGTAAAAAGAAAAAAGGAGCCCTTCTTGGTTCTGTTCTCGTGGTTCAAAGGGCTATGGCAGTGAAACTGTGAAAGTGAAAATGAGGTGGTGTTTATCACAGTAAAACTGAAAATGAAGTGCAGTAACGGCAGTTGAATAACTCTTGTTCCTGTTCTGATGACAGATAGGGATTGACGGCCCTGTCATCGAGGGCATCACCGCGATTGCCGTAATTAATTGTTTTGCAGCTATGGAGGAAACCAGAAAGCCCAAAACATTGGCTGATTACCGCAAGTACAATTTGAGTACAAAGCGGCCTGTTGTTCATCCGGATCTGGATCCCAATGCCTATTGCAGCTTGAGACCAAGACTGGCAGTGGAGGATCCTACGCTGCAAGGGGTAGGTGAATGGTCTACCGATAAACGAAACAGTGACAGTGGTGCTTTATTGGGGGAGGGGAGACGAGAAAGGGGGGGCGGGGGGGGGGGGGGGGGGGGGGGGGGGGGGGGGGGGGGGGGGGGGGGGGGGGGGGGGGGGGGGGGGGGGGGGAAGGGGGGGGGGGGGGGAGAGGGAAATCGGGGGTATCAAGTATGAGGTGAGAGAGGGATGGGGACTCGAGAGGCGCTAGGTTTGTGCGGGAGCTTCTACCGGGGCGCGGAGGGGGGCGAGGGGCCGGAGGGATAACCTAGCAGGCAGTAGAACTGACATAGATGGAGTAGGCAACAGGGTGCCACTGCGCCTCCCGGCCCCCTCCCTCTCGCCAGTCCCTCTGCCTGAGTTCGAGACCCGAGGCCACTGTCGTGTGCGGGTCAGGCGCTGGTCTGACATGGTTCGCCCCCCTTCTGGTTATGGTCTACCTCTCTGTACCTGTTCAAACTTTGTCTGTCCATGCTTGCCGGTGATGAGCAACCGGAATGTTGGCCCCCAGAATAAAAGGGGCTTGTGCTTGCGTAAAAAAAAAAAAAAAAAAAGATGACAACCCTCTTCCACTCTCTGTACGTGCTCCTTTTTTTTTAACAACATAACAAAGGCTTCCAACAGGCCTAGCTCATTTGGTACACCCATGAACTGTTGAAATACAGACCTGAGTTCGGATTCCCATGGAACTACATGACCACGATGAAATAGAACGAAATAATTCTGAATTACCTAGGGCCAGGACCCACTAGTACCCGTTTTAAATGTGGGAGATTCCAAAGAAAAGATGTGGGAGATAAAAAAAACTTGCTTTCTTTCTTTTCTTTTCTTTTTCTTTTTTTTTCTTTTTCTTCTTCTTTTTTTTTTTTTTTTAGCCCAGGGTGTTGTAGAGG